GTTTGCCATGGGCTAGGCCTTAGGTCAGGGACAGTTTCAGGTGGGTAGTTACCAGGTGGGTACCCCCATATAAGGCTCATATAAGGCTCGTATAAGGGTAATGGGCTTATATGAGGTTTATATAGGCCTCTTATAAGGGTAACTACCCACCTGAAACTGTCCTTGACTAAGGTCACGTCTTAGGGTTTGAGGTGTTGGATACCTTGGCTACCCCAGTTCTGGAGCGTAACCCTGACACCCGTACCCCACAAACCCCAAAATTTTGCCTAAACACTGCAATTTTTCCGAGCCTTGTGGTGGACTGTTTGAAGAAATCCTGTGCTGCGGGAGCCTCTTCAAAGAAGCGCGCAAAAAGCTGCTCGCGCAGGTGGTGAAGTTGATCTTCAGTGAGGCTCTGTACGAAACGTTCAAGGGCCTGTTCAACGCGATTAGAACATGGAGTATGGGACTATGGTTGCAGGATTAGGTCCTAGAATTTTTGGATTGTGGTTCTAGATTCAGCAGTTATCGAAGGTTAGGGTTTCGTTTGCAGGCTAAAGGGTATATGATACATGACTAAAATCTGACTTCGATGATTTCTGAAAAATGGGGATGGTGGAGGTAGAGAGGTACTGGTTAAGCACCCTCCAAAATTGACACGTCCCAGGGTTTGTGTTACAATCCCATGCGCCCAGAAACTAGGGAATGAAAATGGAAAGGGTAGATGCAAACCACTTTCGGATGAACAGGGCAGCGAACCCTAAACCCCAAACCCTAAACCCTCAATTCTAAACCCTAAATCCTAAATCCTAAACCCTAAATCCTAAATCCTAAACCCTAAATCCTACACCCTAAATCCCAAACCCCAGCCTTCTGGTGGACTGCGGGCTTGCCTACATGAGCACGCAGGATCCTCTCCGTGTTCTCCCAGAGCCAGTTCCAGGCGACTTCGTGGTTGGAGTCCCAGTCCTGCGCCAGTACCGTAGGCTAAGGGTTCCGGGTTCAGGGTTTGAGGTTGAGGGTTGGGAATTTAGCATTCCAGGTTCCGCGCTCAACGTTCAGAGGTATAAGATTTCGGTGAACCCTCAACCCTAAACCCGATCCCTAAACACCCTAAGCCCCAAACCCTGCACTACCTGTGTCCCCGCAGCCCCAGACCTTGGGAAGCAAGGAGCGTAAAGAGGCCAACATGATGGCTTTGAAGTCGGTCAGGCGTACCTTACTGCCTCACAGGGTTCCAATATGTTTAGGTTCTTTAGGGATTAGTGCTCAAGGGTCGGAGATTAAGGTCTATGGTCTAGGGTATAGGGCTTAGGATTAGGATTTGGGGTTCAAGGATTGAGGTTTTAGGAATTGGGGATTAAGGTTTAGGAATAAGGCATTAGGTTTAGGGCTTAGGGTCCGGGGATAAGATTTTTGGTTTAGAGATTCGGGCTTAGGGATTAGCAACTGGCGATTTCTTCAGATGAGATACTTGGAAAATCCTGCAATCGCAAAAACGTGGGCCGTCTTGCCCTCTGCACCCTGCAACTTCTGCAAGGTATGCAGCTGATGGAAGAAAACATGCCACCACCTAGCGTCCCTGAACTATGGGGTTTAGGGTTTAGAGAGCTTCCTAAGGTTTGCGCTGGTGGTGAAGAATTCCCTTCATCAACACTTTGAGGGTAACCCAAATAGGGGGCCGCAATATGGACCCCAAAATACAAGAATCCTTCTTCTAGCGACCCACAAAAAGGGAACCCCTCATTTTCGGAAACCCTAAACCCTAAACCCTAAACTTTATGTATCGCCTGCAGTACCCCAAAAATGGTACCTTTAATTCTTGTGGAAACCCTATACCCCAAACCCCAAACTCTAATCCCTAAACCCGACATATATTCCATATAAGATATAGTACCCACAAAAGGCACCTTAGTTTTTGGGAAACCCTAAACCCTCAACCCTAAACCCTTAACCAAACACCTTAAACCCTTAACCCTAAACCCTTAAACCTAAACCCTTAACCCGAAACCCTTAACCCTAAATTCCCGCCCGGCCTGCTTAGGCTGTTCCCACCCATTACTAGGGTGGTCAAAGGTCAAACACTGAAGAAACACGTCAGCCTTTACGCCCATACTGGGTAAGACAAAAGGAGGAGGAGAGTGGACGTATAGACTAGGTTGGCCCCTAAAACCCCTTGAAAAATATTAGTATATAGGGTCCCCTTATTAAAGCCATTAGGGAAAATATTAAATATCCCGGGGGCCTACCCAGTAGAGCCTCTTCTGGGCTCCTCGAGGGCCAAATCTCTACAGTGGACAAAGGCAAAATCCCTTGACCGCCCGCACAGTTTTTCAAAGAGGTGGCAACTCCCACGCCCCGAAGAAAGCCCCAAAAGATGAAAAGTGGGCCTTTGTGCTGCGCTAGCACCAGCGACAGAATGTCGCATTCCTCCTGAATTGTGAGATTTGTGGGGAATTCCTGTGGGATTTATGCGGGAGTTATGTGGAATTTATGTGGGATTTTGGGTTCGACAGTAAAGTCTTGAGTCTAGGGTGAGTGTTTGTCATATTCAGATATCCCACGACAAGAAGCGAGCCATTTACGGCGATTCATAGGATGGAACGATCAGAGTGTGAGATGTCGTGGAACAGCCCCTTACTCACAACGACCCCTACTTGCAATCCCATGTCAGTGAATCCCGAGCCCTGAATCTCATAGCTCCTGCAGACGGTATGAGTCAGCAGCATGAACCACGATGTCATCGAACTGGTCCAAGATTAGCTGCATCCATTGGTTGTTCTGGCCGAACCCCATGACAGCGGCATTGAAGAAAAACATCTCCTTGAAATTCGTGGGCACCTTCATCTCTGAAGACGTGCTCTTCATAGTGGCTGTGGCATCAGACTTTGTCATCTGGGGAGTGAGGCTCCCACTTCTCGTCTTCCCATCCCTCCCATCCGTGCTGGTGGTGGATGCAGTGGATGCCATCTGAGACTCGGACTTCATTCCTGCTACACCTGGGTTGCTGTTAAGGAACTTAAATTAAGTTACCATCATGGGTATATATAGTAAATAATAGGGTTTCCCCAATATAGTAACTTAATTTAAGTTCCTTAACAGCAACCCAGACACTTGACGCATCCTGCGACTGATCTTCCCCCTGTTGGGACTCCTCCTCCTCTTCAGAGCCAACAGGCTTGTTGTTGGCGACCTTTGGGGTTTAGGGTTTAGGGTTTAGGGTTGGAAGCAGAATAGACAGTTGGGGGATCCCAAAAAGCGAAATCCTAAATCTGAAGGGTATTATCCCCCCATAATGGAGAATCGAATGGAAAAGAAGATGGAAAATGAAACACTGGAGGGAATATAGGAATTTACGGAACTTGATTTAAGTTGCTACATTGGGGAAACCATATTAATGACTACATCTACCCACTATGGCCACTTACCTGAAGTTCTTCAACAGCAACCCAGCAAAGCTCAGAACCCCTGCAAGGGTTGCAGCCCCTAAACCCTAAACCCTAAACCCTAAACCCTGCCACCTGCCAACTGCGGTGGATGATCCTGATGCGGCCAATGTATTCGCTTACGATGTAGCAGTTCCTTACTTATGATCAGGCGCCAGTGGGACATCTAAGAGAGGTACTATTTTTGGCACATAGATATGTATAGATATAGATAAACAGGATATAGATAAGTAAGTTTTCCTCTTTTATGCACACACACACCTACAAAATTAGAAAATTGGGAAACAGGTAATTAAGAAAGGTCTTGGGATTCACTTCTTTACCCTCTCCTGCCCCGCTAAAGGAGCCTTAAACCCTTAAACCCTAAATCCTGAACCCCAAACCTTAAAACGCTAAAACCCTGAACCACTACACCCCGAAACCCCAAGCCCTCAACCCTAAACCCTAAACCCCTAACGTTAAGCACCAGTGAGGTTCGCCCCACCGATGTAGTTCAGGACTGCGTTCAGGGCTGCTCGCATCTTTGGTGACAGTCCTCTTAGGGTTTAGGGTTTAGGGTCTCGGTTGCTGTTAAGGATCTTAAATTAAGTTACCATGATGGGTGTAGATATATATATATATACGTATGTATGCATATAAATATGGGGTATATAGGGTTTAGGGTTTTGGGCTGAAGGAACTTAAAATGAGTTACCATAACGGGTGTATATAGAGCATACCCTAAACCCTAAACCCTAAACCCTAAACCGCATATATTAGGGTTCAGGAGCAACCCGGTCCTCCAAGCTCCATGACAACCTGGATGTTCGGGTTTAGGGGTTAAGGGGTTAAGGGCGTCAAGGGCGTTAAGGGCTTAGGGGTTTAGGGTTTAAGGTTTAGGATTCAGGTTTTAAGGTTTAAGGTTTACGGCTTAAGTCTTGGAGGGGTGTGATCTTTGATTGCTGAACGAAGTAAGGTCATATGTCTTTCATACAAAAACCCCCGGGTCCTGGCTTTTGTGGCTTCTGACTCACGACTTGGACATGGGGGGTTTCTCAAAATGATGATGCCTTTTAGGGGTCCCGCAATATTCAACCCCGTATTATGAGAGGGTCCCAGCAAGAGACGATAATTTTGACAGCATATAGACCCCCATATGCTACAATCCTTTATCTTGGGATCCCAAAATGGCAAGCCTACTTTCAGGAAAGCCTACGTAAACCCTAAACCCCTCAACCTCTAAACCCCTAAAACCTAAACCCTAAGCCCCCTAAACCCCAGACCCTAAACCCTAAACCCTTAACTCAAGATCCCCAAACCCTAAACCCAAAACCCCAAACCGCTAAACCCCCAAATCTTAAATCCAAGCAGCCACATCAACCATGGCATCTCTCAAGATGGCCACGCGCGGAGGCTGCGGATCTCGATCAAAATGTCGCGAGCCCAGCGCTTCCACCTGAGCTAGAATCTACACTCCTGAAAGGGGGGTTATATAGGGGATTATGTAAGGTGTAGGGTTTAGGGTTTCAGGATTAGGGCTTAAAGTTTAGGGTTTAGGGTCTAAACTCCTTAAAAGGGGGTTATATTAGGGATTACATAGGTCAGTATTATCGGCGTTGTTAAGTGGGACACTTGGAGTTTAGACTATAGCTCACCTGGCGACTGGAAAAAGAAGATGGAAGCTCCCAGGGTACTGGAACAGCAAAGTGAAACTACAATGTGAGGCCGAAGCTTTATGGTTGAGGGATATTACCCTAAACTCTAAACCCTAGGCCCCAAACCCTAAACCCCAAACCCTAAACCCCAAACCGCCATAAACCCTAAACTCAAAACCCCTAAACCCTAAACCCTGATTGTAATATTTTGGGGTCAATATTGGGGTCCCCCTATTTTGGCTAACTACCATATTACGGCATGCAGGGTTCTGGGTCTAGTTCTGGGTTTAGGTTTCCACAAGTATTCAAGGTTCAGGCTTAAGGCTTCAAGGCTTGGGGTCAAGATTTAGAGTTCAGGATTTTGGGTCAAGGGTTTAGAGTTTAGGGTTCTGGAGTTTAGGGTTCTGGGCCCGCACGGAACGTAAACCCTAAGTGACAGCGGAAGCCTGAACCCTGAACTGCTAAAACCTAAATCCCTAAAGCCCAAACCCTAAATCCCTAAACCCCAATTCCCTAAACTACATCATTACCAGCTCTGTGACCTGTGTCTTCATGGCGGGCGGATTGTCGCAGAGGTTGAGGATGTTTGTGATTCCACCCATGAGGCGCAGAGCCATGAGGGACCTGTGGGTGGCTAAGCGTTGGGGTTCAGATGGCCAGGATTTTGGTTTAGGGTCTAGGGCTTAGGAAGGCTTGCGGTTCAGGCCTTGTTTGGCGCCTATGGTTGAAGTAAATAGAACACACCTGCTCAAGACTGCTTCTGCATGACACCCCTGCTGAGAGGCTTAGAGCTGCGGATTGCCAGTTTAGGGTTCAGGGTTAGGTATCTGGGGTTTAGTTCAGGGTCAAAGGTTTAGGGCTCAGGGTTAGGTATTTAGGGCTTTGAATTAAGCAGTCTAGATTTAAGGTTTAGGGTTCAGAGTTTAGGGAGGGGTTGAGCATTCATCAGCTTTTGGGCTTCGGGTGCGGGAGTGCGTCAACCAGATTCATTCCAATTATTTAACTACCAGTAAACCTTTCCAAAGAGTGAGGCACGGTGCGCGTGAATTCCTCCACCTTGAACCCCAACGACAACCTCCCAAACCCTGACTTCTGCTGCTACAGCCCAAATGATTATGCCCAAGCCATTTCCTGCCCAGCGAGATCCTGAAGGGGACCTGTGACCAGGTCATCTCCAGGATTGTGTGCCCTCTTCCCTTGAGGCTTTAGGCGTCAGGGCTTAAGGGCTTAGATTAAAACCTAAACGTTGAGAAAACCCTACGCCTTAAAACCTGCCCCAAACTCTGAACCCTGACACGTCAGAGACATTAACCCGAAGGCCTTGACACTGGACCCTACGCCCCAAATAGTAGCAGCCATGATATCTTCCATGTTCTTCTCTTTTTCGCACTCCATTACTGCCCGAATTCCTGAACTCTATAGAACTCTCATATCCCTACGGAAGCCGAAACAACCCTACACAAACCTTATATAATCCAAAAAAAAAGCTGAACCCTACATAACTTCACATATCCCTACAATGTCATGAGCTATAGTCTAAACTCCTAGTATCCCCCTTACTAACCCCTATACTACTCCCTATGTAATCCCCTGTATAAACCCCCTTCAAGGAGTCTATACCCTAAACCCTAAACCCCAAACACCCTAAACCCTAAACCCTATATAATCCCCCATATAACCCAGCTTTAAGAAGTTTCGACTTTGGCTCACACAAGGCGCCTTGGGGTCTTGAAGAGCCCCTGAAGGCTCGGGGCAGCATCAAAGCAGGCGGCATAGATGGCCTCGGCGGCAGCCTCTGCAGGGATCATGTGGGGTTTAGGGTTCAGTGTTTTTTTTTGGGTGGTTGAACCTAGTAATATTGGGGTTATATAGGGATAATGGAAAAGAAAATGGAAGCTACTATATTATGGGATAGATATTGGGGTTATATTGGGGTTATATTAAGTAACGGTTTTTTTTGGTGGGTGAACCTAGTAAGTAAGATTATATTCCTTATATAAAAGACTATACCCCAAAAGGAGGATATAATCTTACTCTATATTGGGTACCATGGTATCCCCAAATAGAATACTACTCATGTGAGGTTTAGGGTTGTCCCTTCCAAGGGGCATGTAGGGATATAGTCTAAACCCTAGACCATCTCCATCTTAACCCATGTGAGCTATAGTCTACACTCCTTAAAGGGGGTTATATAGGGGATGATACAGGGTTTAGGATTTGGGGTTTAGGGTTTAGGATCTAAACTCCTTAAGGGGGGTTTTATAGGGGATTATATAGAGATTTTATAGGGGATTGCCAAGGGGTTTATTAAGGGGGATACTAGGAGTTTAGACTATTGTTCATGTAGGGATATGCAGCTTTAAAAAAGTTGGAGGGATATGTATAGAACTTTAGGATTAAGGTTAAGGGTTTCAGGGGTTTAGAGTTTAGGGCTTCGGGTGTAAGGCTCGTGGTCTAGGATTGGAGGCTTGTGATTCAGATTTGCTCGCAGGATCAAAAAAAAACGAGGAGAGATTGCGCTTCCTGGGAGGATTCGGATTCAAAGTTTGGAGCTTAGGATCGAGAGCTTCGGCATGAGGCTTGTGCTTCGGGTTAAGAGTCTATCTAAAGAGGGCCTTTTACATGAAGGGAAATTAAAAACTGAAAGGAAAGTTTGTTTGCACATGATTTTGCAGACTGCAGACAGAGTCAGCCTGTTGCTTAGCTTCAGGGGTTCGGGGCATAGGGTTCCGGGGTTCGCGTGCTGCAAATACTCTCTGGCAGTTGT